CCCTCGATCCCCAGCCTGAGTAGGGGGATCACCGGCCTCTGCGCTGCAGGCGGCGCCCCTGCTGGTGAGCATGGTGTCGCTCTGCTCTCCTCGAGGGATCTCCAGGGGCCCGCGCCGTGCGAAAAAGTCACGCCCGGGGTCTGGGCCGGGCCCTGCAGAGGAGCCACAGGCGGCAGGGGCATGAACTCTCGGAGGGCCGCGCAGATGTCTCGCATCCGCGCCGAGCCGCCCTGGCGCGCGCCCAGCGCCGAATCCGTGCGGAACTCCGCGCCGTGCTCTCCCCTTCGGCCCCTGGGGACCGAGCGGGCCCCCTCTTTGGCGGGGCGCACGGGGGGGTGATGGGAGGGGAGAGGGCTTCTTAGAAGCAGGGGTGCTTCAAAGAAGCCACCCCCCCACCCCCCTCTGCTGAAGGGGCCCTGGGACACACAAATGAATACACACAAAGAAAAGGATTCCCCATGTTTTCCCATATTTTCTGGGTTTTCCCCTTCCCCCCCACTCCCCATATTTTCCCCTATGTTCCTGGGGGTCGACGACGAACTGTGTCTGTGTGCTCTTTCCCCCCCTGACCTGCGCGTGGCGGGCCCCTGCTGGCCGGACCCCAGGGCCCCGAGGAGCGCCGGGGCCGAGGCTGCGCTGCTCCCCTGCAGGCTGGAGCCGCCGGCCAGCAGCACGAGTTGCAAGGGGCCCCAGGACACGCAAATAAACACACACAAATGAACAGATTCCCCATGTTTTCCCATATGTTCTGGGTTTTTGTCTTCCCCCCCACTTCCCATATTTATTTTCCCATATTTTCTGGGGAAGCGACGATGAATTGTGTCTGTGTGTTTTTTCCCCTCCTGAGAGTTGGCGGCAGCACGCCCTGCCAGCGCCGGATGCAGAAGAAGAAAGCCAAAGCTGGAACCGGAAGCGGGACAAGGACCATGGCCACAGGGTCTTCTGCGAGGCCAGGAGGAGAAACAAGCCGGAGCCGGAGCCGGAAGCAGAACCGGAACCGGCAGAAGAAAAAAAAACAAAAAAAACAGAGCCGGAAATGGGACCGGAGCCAGAACCAAAACCATGACTGGAAGCTCTTTCGGGACGGAGAAGAAAAAAGCAACGCTACGGGATGGGCGGGCTCAGGGAGAAAGGCAGCGGGCTGGAACCAGCGATGCATCGCCGATGGATCGGCGATGGGCCCCCGATGGCGCGTCCGCAGCTCCTGGGCGGCGCGGGCTGTCGGGCCGGCGATGAGCGGGCGGTGGGAGGTTGGTCGATGCATCCCCCCCTGAGCCTGTGCCCCCTCACGTTGCCCCTGATGTGCGGCGAGCGCCCAATATCCTTTCACCACGGCGTGACAGCTAGCGCCCTCGCCGCCAGCCGAGCCTCGACGCCGCCGGGACCCTCGGCGGCTGACCGCACGGCCTTGCGGTACCAGCGGGCCCCTGCGCGCAGGCCTGCACCAGTCATCCTCCCGGCGCAGCGGCCGAAGTGCAGTGACAGCCCGAGGTAGAGCGCTCCGCCCGGATGGCCGTGAAGCGCCGCCCTGCGAAACCACTCCTCTGCGACGCACGCGTGCGATGCTCCGAACAACGCCCCACTGCCTGGGCGCACGTGCAACCATCCCAACTGAAGCGCGGGATCTGCCGCTGCTGCTCCACCTCTGGTGGCAAGGTGCAGAAGCGTGAGGGTCTGGTTCTGTTCGAGCCGATACTGCTCACGACTGATTTCCAGGGAGGCCGGCAACCCCTCGGTCACGATGGCGTTGTAGGCACTCTCTGCCCCGTGAAGGTCGCCGGAGCCCTGCATCAAGCGGCCCAGCTGGAAGAAGACCGGCGGAATGTGCCAAGCGCGGCCCCTTCGCGCCACGACGTGGCGGAGCAAGCGCTTCATCAGCATCTCAGTCTCGATGCTCCTCCTTCGGAGGGCGTCGTCTCTCATCTCTGGCCGGCTGCAGGCCCAGCAGGCCGGCTTCGCGGTGCCTCGAGAGGATCCCTCCGCCGCCACCGCTGCCAGCGCGAACTGAGCGGACCGCGGCTCCGCGCTGAAGAGGCGGATCACGGACCGCAGGGCAGGATCTCCGTCCTGTGCGCACAGTGTGTTGAAGGTGTGCTCGGTGAAGGTGTATATCTCGGAAAGCCACGGCGGCGACAGCGGGATCAAAACCTCAGGACCTTCGAGGAAGAAGCACTGCATGAACATAAATGTTCGGAGCTCCGCGCAGATTTCTCGGATCGGCGCTGGGTCCCCGTGGCAGCGCCTCCAGCACCGCCCCTGGCGCGCTCCGCGCGCCAGGGAGGGGTGCTCAGCGCCGATCCAAGAAATCTGCACGGAGCTCCCAAAGCTATGCTTATGCAGTTGATTACTCTTCGAGACCTATCAGAAAGCATGCATACCCTCCCGCTGCAGCAAGGAATCTGAGCGTGGCGTCGAGCTGAGCCGCCAGATTCGGGGGGTCCCCACCCTCAGAGGGTGCCCTCTCGGCGCGCTTCCTCCAAAGCTCGCTCACCTCGAAAATGAGGAAGCGGACCAGGCGGTTCGAGAGTAGCTGCCCAGCGCCTCGGAGCACTTCAGGGTCTGCACCCTCCGCATCGATCTTTAGCACAGCGATGTCTTTCAGCCCAATCCTTTCCGCGAGGTTATCGAGCGCTACGACCTGGACTGCCTCTGGCTGCAGGCACCTCGTCTGGTCTTCGTGCCCGTACGAGAAGCCGACTGTAGCCCCTGGGCTCCTAGGGCTGGGTCTGCCCAACAGGATTCTTCGTTACACTCCCAAGCGGTAAGGGCCCCAAACACACACACACACACACACACACACACATTCTCCGCCCGCGATGTGGCACCACAGTTGCGATACAATACGCACGGGAAGCGAGCATATGAATTTTCTGCCTTGTGTATATAGAGACCTCGAACTAGCGTTGAGAACGGCGTGCGGCAAGGGGGGAGACCCCGACCGAACAGCGGGCGTGCAGCGAAGAGAGACCCACTGGGGGGGGGAAAGCGCGTGCGTGCGGAGGCACATGCCACCGAGGCGGCGACGGTTGCGCCAACGATGGTGGAGGGGCAGAAGGAGACGGGAGGAAGCGGACCGTCGGGAGCGCTGCAGGCCTGTGGGTGCGAAGTGGCCGACCAGCCAGCGGCACACCCGCCAACAACAGAAGGCGCCGAGCCAACGAGCAGCAGGCGCCCGCCCGGGCGCGCCCAAAGGAAAGGCCGGCCGGCAAGGGCGTGCAGGGAGCGCGCCGGCAGCTGCAGCGCCACAGAGCGGGTGCCTGCCCAGGCAAGCCTGGCAGAGCACCTCGGGAAAGGACGGGGCAACGGAGAAGCGACCCAGGGAACACACACACACACCTTCGCGCACACACACAGACACACACACACACACAGACTCACACACATATATATATACACACGCGCGCGCACGCACACACACACACATCCGCACACTTCTTTTTGGCGTCGCGGCCACGCGCTCGGCGGCGCGGCGCAGTTCAAGTCAGGCGGGATCGCAAACACACACACACACACACACACACACACACACACAGCTTTCCGTCGCGGCCAAGCGCTCGCAGAAACGCGGCGAAGTCAGGCTACTGGCCGAAGAAGGCAGAGCGCGAGATAACCCAGCTCAGGAGCAGCAGGGCGTGCTGGGGAGAGCCATGTAGGGAGACAGAACACACACACACACACACACAAGCACAAACGTCGCGGCCACGCGCGCGGCGGCGCGGCATATGCGCAAGCCAAGCGGAAGAGCGCCGGCCGGACACGCACACACACACACACACACCTTCCAAGCCAACCCTCACCCCCACCCGCCCACCCCACCGCACACACCCGCTCATCCACAGCACCCACCCCACCCACCCCACCCACCCACCGCCCCCGCCTCTCCCTCCCCGCCGCCCCCCGCCCGCCCGACCCGCCCGCCCGACCCGGCGCCCCATCAAAGCTCAGTGCCCGATTTACCACTACCACTAGCAGGAGACGGGTGGCCTTCCAGGCCTCGATGGGGGTCACCAGAGCACAATTAAACAAGACGCGCGTTGAAGCCTTCCAGGTGCGGATGGCCGTACAACTCCTACCTACCCACAGATCCGATGCCGTGATTTTTCAATGCGGGGGCCTCTGGAAGTCTCGACCCATCACTTTCCCAAGGACTGTTTTTTTTTAATCCTGAGCCGGTCTTTGACGGTCCTGGGGCCTGGCCTTGGCCTCTAGAGGCTGAAAAGGACGGCGGAAAAAGTCGGCTTCGTCAATTTCCAGACGCCGGATCTCTGGGCGCATAGAAAATAGGGGGCCACATGCGAACCCCTACCCCTGCCCCCCACGATCTCTGAGGGGAGGGTGGGGTTCCCTTCGCTCGGGAGCCCAGGAACGAAGCGAACCCAACCCCCCAGAAACGGGTAGGGCTCGCATCTGGCCCCCCGTAGTAGTGTTAAGTCGGGCCTGTCCCCCTACAGGGGGATTTTCGACGAAAACTAAAAAATACTCCAATAATGCTCAAAAGATGCCCAAAAATACAAAAAAAAAAAAAAAAAAAAAAAAAAAAAGTTCCCAGACTATTTTCTGTCTATTTCTGAATATTCCCCCTGTGGAGGGACAGGCCCGACGTAATAGTAGCGGCAGTGCTCCGCACTCCTGGGGCAGTACAGGAGCTCCGAGCCCGACTCCGCGGCCGCGGCCGCGCAGACGGCCAGCACGCAGCCCGCCGAGCGGTTCCCGCCCGCGGGGCGGCCGCCCGCTGCGCACGCGGCGCGGGAGGCCCGGAGCTCCCCGCAGCGGCCCGCCGAGGGCTCCAGCGCGATGGCCCACGCCGGGGCCGGGCGCGGAGGCGGCGGCGCCGGCCCCGCGGCGGCGGAGGGCGGGAAGGCCGCGCGCTGCCAGGACCTCGCAGCGCAATGCTCGGGCGCGCCGGAGGGGGTGGTCCCTCCTCGTCCTGCTGCCCCTGCTCCCCCTCCTCCTCCTCCTCCTCCTCCTCCTCCTCCTCCTCCTCCTCCTCCTCCTCCTCCTCCTCCTTCTACCTCCCCCCTCCTCCTCCCCATCGTCTCCCCGTCCTCTGTCCCCCCAGGAGGAGGGCGGCGAGGCGATCCTTCCCTCAAGGTGGATCGTAAACTTCAAAATGTCTCGATCTCGGAATCCTGGGCCCTCTTCGCGTGCGCCGAAGACTGGGATCAGCACGAGGGGGGGTGGGCATCTTGACCCGAGGCATGTGCGCGAACGTGTGGGGGCTAGGGAGGGAGTGCATTGAAAGAGAGAAAGAGGTGGCCACGAGATTTGGGAGATATCAGGACCCCGACCACGATATGCACACGCCCCCAGTACCCACACACACACACACACACCTGGACGCCCCCGAATTATAGGCAACCACGTGTGAACCCAACTCCTGCAAGTCAGACTTCTGACAAGCTGGCCGGGGTCCAGAATTTGAAGGATGTCTGCAGCCAAGCGAATCCCCACGGAGGTGTCCGATACCTCCGCGTCGATTGGACCCGTGGAGGTCGAGCTCGCAGGCGGCCGCAGGCACAAGAAGAGGGGGTCCTGGGCCCCAGAGCATTCCCCGGGGCCAGCATTCCCTTCTCGGTCATTCCGGCGATGGACAAACCTCCCTTTAGTGAACCTCCCTCTGATGAAAACGGCCTAGGACCGAAACAGACGGACCTGGACCCGCCAAAATGACGGCCGCGACGAACTCTCGCGAACCGGAAACGGCCAATTCGCTAATCGACGTGCCAGGGTTGATGGGCCTGTGTTCCACCACCACTACCATAAGTTGGAGGGGGCAAGAAGGAGGAGGAGGAGGAGGAGGATTAGCAGGAGGAGGAGGAGGAGGAGATGGAGGAGGAGGAGGACGAGGACCCCCTCCCCCTCCAACTTATGGTGGTGGTGGAAAACAGGCCCATCAAGGGTAGGTCCTCCGATCGTTGCTGGACGGCTCCAGGGCTCCGGACGGCCGAGGCTGGGAGGCCAGGGCCACGTGCTGCCGGGACCCTGTGCAAAAGAGCAGGTGCAGACAGCTTTCACAGGACAGCAAAAGCTTTCGGAGTAGGGGGCCACATGCGAACCCTACCCCTACCCCCCACGATCTCTGAGGGGGAGGGTGGGGTTCACTTCGCTCGGGAGGTCCCGAACGAAGTGAACCCCACCCTCCCCCTCAGAAACCGTGGGGGGTAGGGGTAGGGTTCGCATAACGAAGTGAACCCCACCCTCCCCCTCAGAAACCGTGGGGGGTAGGGGTAGGGTTCGCATGTGGCCCCCTACGGAGGTCCGCGTGGACCTCCGAAAGCGGCTGTGCTCATGCCGCCTTGGGGCTTCTGTTCGGACCTTGGCATCGCAACCAGCGCATCCCACAGTGCCAGGGCAGTGAGACTGAAGTCTCCGAGGAAGGCGCCCACGTCCAGGACGGTGGGGCCGACGCCCTCGTCAGGCGGAGAAGGCGCCCGCCGCTCCTCTGCGGCGAGCGCCAAAAAGATGGCGGGCAGGATGTGCTCGGCGTCGAGAAAGACTGGGTCGGTGTCGGCCTGGGTGAGGTACGGCAGTATCAGGATCTCCGCGAAGAGGCGCATCTCTGCCAAGCCTGGAGGAGTGGAGGCGTGGAGGAATGGGACGCACAAAGGACACACGGGTACAAGGTGTCCTCCTTGGAGGCGTGCGTCCGACCCGAACAAACCATACAACCATCTCGTAGTAGATCGTTTCCCGAGCGGTACGGCAAGTAAGCGCTCGCCACGGAGCATATACTACAAGATTTCTGAGCGTGGTCACCGCCCCTCTGGGGCGACGCGCACATAGTACCTAGTCATCCGCAGTTGCGGATAAGAGAGAGGGGTGCCCATCCCCTGTGTCCATCTCAGTGTCCATCCCCAGTGCCCATTCCCAGTGCCCATCCCCAGTGTCCATCTCCAGTGTTCATCCCCAGAGTTCATGCCCAGTGTTCATCCCCAGTGTCCATCCCCAGTGTTCATCCCCAGCGTCCATCCCCTTCGGGCGCACCTCTCTCTGATTATTACGTTCGGGTGACACCGAAGGAAGCTCGTCCCGAAAAGGGGGGGGGCTGCCTGCCCCGTCCCCCTCGCGGCGACCCTTTGGAACACCCGGGGGGCGAGACATCCGCCATTTCGAGGCATGGGCCCTGGACTTGAGTCGGGCCTGTGGGGGATTTTCGACAAAAAATAAAGAATACCCCCAAAATAATCAAAAAATACTCCAAAAATAGTCTGGGTGGTATGTTTTGAAAATTTGTTGGCCTTGTTGGAATATGTTTGGGGTATTTTTACCTAACAGCGAAGACTGATAGGTTTCTAGTGGTGTCAAAAGAGAACATCTGATGACTCAGAAGGGAGGTCTGGGCGGCATCCGGACAGCGAGGGCCGGGCTCAGGGCCGGGCTCGTTTTAAGCAAACAGTCACACACTTCGTGCTCTTCGACCCCAGAACTCCATTCCCGGGCCACATTTTGAATGCCCGGAGCCAACTGTAGGCCACTTCGTGGTCTTCGAGTTC